TATCCATTTTTCTCCATCACGTACAGATTTTTCACAAAACATCATATGTACTTTGACATAAGTGAATCACATTTTGTTATGCTTAAAATGTTGACAACCACTGGATATAAATTTCTCTAGACCAATCGCGACGTGAGAGTCTTATTGATCGTTCTGGAACCCACGATAAACACACCCCCAGTACATAAACGGTTAACATGCCGCAGGACGTGTCATTTCTGGATAATATTTGTTTTTGCGTACACTTTGACATTATTTTTTTCTATTCAATATTATATATTCGTCTCTGTTTGTTTGTTTATTTTTAATTATGCACAAAGCTACATAAGGGCTATCTGTGCTCTGCCCATCACGGGTATCGAAACCCGGTTTCTAGCGTTGTAAGTCCGCAGACATACCGCTGTGTCACTGGGGGGCATATTCGTCTCTATGACAACAAGCAGTTGTGTAAATGACCCAAACATATTCTGTTATATTTGTGGTAAATTTATTGTAAAGAAACAAAGGCAAAACATTACAGAATTCGTCAATCAAGCGTATTACGCTTATTTTGGAATAAAACTTGGGGACCAAGACAAATCATGGGCTACGCACTAAGTTTGCACCGTTTGTGTCGAAGAGTTGAGACAGTGGACTAAAGGTAAGAAAAACGTGTAACGTGCAAGGCTACAACACTCGAAATAAAAAGGAAATTTCTTATCCGAACCTTCAATCTGCTATAAGATCTGTTGCTCAAGAACCTGATGTAATTATACCTACTCCACCAGAGTTTATTGATACCGTTTCATCTGATTCTGAATCTGATTTCAATAGAAATGATGATAGGAATTGTTTCAATCTGAAATGCCTGGTGAACCACAACTTTTCACACAAGGTGAACTTTATTATTTGGTGAGAGATTTGGGCCTCCCATAGGATTCTTCAAATATTTTAGGGTCCAAACTTCGGCTAAGAACTTACTTTTTCCAGGGACATCATTTTACTGGTACAGAAATTGTGAGAAAGAGTTATACCATACTTTTCGCTGGAAGGTTCACTGATTTATTGCAACAATATTGCTGAATTAATACCAATGCTAGGAGCTGCAGTCTATAAACCAAGTGAGTGGCAATTGTTCATTGATTATTCCAAAAAAAAGTCTAAAAGGTGTTCTCCTTCACAATGGTAACATATTCATCTGTTCCTATTGCTCATTCAGTTCACTTGAAGGAAACGTATGAAAATCTGAAAATTCTTCTTAATAAGGTCAAATACAAATAACATGGTTGACTACTTTGTGGAAACTTAAAAGTCCTTTGTATGTTGTTGGGTCAACAATCCGGTTATACAAAGTTTCCATGTTTTTGTGTAAATGGGACAGCAGAGCACGAAATGAGCACTGGATAAAAAAGCAATGGCCACGCAGAGTCAGCCTGATACCACGATCGAAAAACATTGAACGTGAAAGTTTGGTTGACACAAAGAAAGTCCTATTACCTCCACTTTACCTAAAACTGGGCTTAATGAAGCAGCTTGTAAAGGCCTTAGACAAAGATGGTGACTGTTTCGAGTATCTATGTGGGCAATTCACAGCTCTTTCAGAAGCAAAACTTACAGAAAAAATTTTGTTGGACCTCAGATTAGGAAATTGTCTTCGGATGAACAATTCAAAAGGACAGTGAGGAAAGTTGAAAAAAGAAGAGTGGATTGCCTTTAAAGATGTTATTGACAATTTTTTAGGAAACAACAAGGACCCAAATTACGAAAATATTGTCAATAACATGCTCGATAAATTCAAAGAGTTAGATTATAATATGAGCTAGAAAGTTCATTTATTACATGTTGACTATTTCCCTGTCAGCGAAGAACAACGGGAAGATTTTCATCAAGACATCAGGGAAATGGAGAGGAGGTATTAGGGAAGGTGGAACATCAGCGTGATGGCTGATTACCGCTGGTCATTGAAACTAGATGTCCCAGATGTAATACATAAAAGAAAGACCAAAATACGTAGTTTTGAGACTAAAAGACGTACATTTCACACAAAAATCGGGATGAAAGACGATGCATATTAGTTCTTTCCTTTTCTTTAGGTTGTTTGTATTTTTGTTAACAAATATAACAAAAAATATCCATTGTGGTAAACGAAATAATAATTTGATCTAAGTAAAAATTTTTTTCTTCCCGATTTGTAAAAAAATTCTAACGTGATAGAAAAAAACGAATATTATTTTCGAAATCTGCGTAGCTGAATTATGGACAATTTGTTATTAAAACCAAACAACTTTTATGAAGTTTAAATTCGCAGGCCTGCGTAATTATCTTGACGTGTAGAGGACTTAGGGTAGTAAAGTTCAACAAATTAGATTAGTTTTTAATACCCGCCAAAGCACAAGATATCCTTCATCCACCAATCTCATGGAGAAAACCGGTCGGCAGCAACCTACTGATATTTTTTGTATATTTTATGGTTATCTACCAATTACTTAATTTTTTTTTATTTAATTAATTTTTATCATAATTAGTTTTATATTAAGCTCCCAATGTCACTAAAATGAGATTTTGTTCTTAAGATAAAGAAATGGAGGTTAAGATTGTTAATCGCTGCTCGACACTATAGCAAGAGGGAAAATAAACGTAAGTCTAATCTAGCGTCAACAGCATGCTGTACAATTGCACAAATTGAGCAACTTTATGCAAGTGAAGTACTGTATTCTTAAGCTAATTCGAGAGTAATTTAAATATTTATGAATAATTAAGAAGAACATTCATATTTTAACTACATTCATTGAGTACAAAATCTATAAAATCTCCGATCTGTGTTTGGGTTTATTAATACCATTACCAAACAACACCTGACCCACCACACACATATATTTATGATTGTAACAATACTACTTTATTAGATCCTATGAGTTCGATGGTTCTTATCTTTTAAATAAATTACAACTAGCTGACAAATCTGTTCAACGCTGAATCCCCAGTTTGGTGACAATTGGTCCAGCTTTTCTCCAATAATAAGCAAGCACACACACACACATACGGACGTTTGTCAAGTAATGTTTTGGATATAATGTTATATAATATTTTAAAGTCATCGAAGCAGATTTTGTCAATCATAGTTTTATCTACTCCAACTAGGTAGATTACGTTAATCATAGTTTTTATCTACTACACCTAAGCAAGTTTCGTTAATCATAGTTTTATCTACTCCAACTAGGTAGATTACGTTAATCATTGTTTTTATCTACTACAACGAAGCAGATTTCGTTAATCATAGTTTTTATCTACTCCAACGAAGCAGGTTTCGTTAATCATAGTTCTTATCTGCTCCAACTAGGTAGATTACGTTAATCATAGTTTTTATCTAATCCATCGAAGTAGATTATGTTAATCATAGCTTTTATCTACTCCAACTAAGCACATTTCATCTGTTAAATTTTTATCTACTCCATCGAAGCAGATTTTGTTAATCATAGTTTTTATCTACTCAAAAGAAGTGGATTTCGTTAATCATAGTTTTTATCTACTCAAACGAAGTGGATTTTGTTAATCATAGTTTTTATCTACTCCATCGAAGTAGATTATGTTAATCATAGTTTTTATCTACTCCATCGAAGTAGATTACGTTAATCATAGTTTTTATCTACTCCAACTAGGTAGATTACGTTAATCATAGTTTTTATCTACTCCAACGAAGCAGGTTTCGTTAATCATAGTTCTTATCTGCTCCAACTAGGTAGATTACGTTAATCATAGTTTTTATCTAATCCATCGAAGTAGATTATGTTAATCATAGCTTTTATCTACTCCAACTAAGCACATTTCATCTGTTAAATTTTTATCTACTCCATCGAAGCAGATTTTGTTAATCATAGTTTTTATCTACTCAAACGAAGTGGATTACGTTAATCATAGTTTTTATCTACTCCAACTAAGCACATTTCATCTGTTAAATTTTTATCTACTCCATCAAAGCAGATTTTGTTAATCATAGTTTTTATCTACTCAAACGAAGTGGATTACGTTAATCATAGTTTTTATCTACTCCAACGAAGCAGGTTTCGTTAATCATAGTTTTTATCTGATCCAACTAGGTAGATTACGTTAATCATAGCTTTTATCTACTACAACTAAGCACATTTCATCTGTTAAATTTTTATCTACTCCATCGAAGCAGATTTTGTTAATCATAGTTTTATCTACTCAAAAGAAGTGGATTTCGTTAATCATAGTTTTTATCTACTCAAAAGAAGTGGATTTCGTTAATCATAGTTTTTATCTACTCAAACGAAGTGGATTTCGTTAATCATAGTTTTTATCTACTTCAACTAAGTAGATTATGTTAATCATAGTTATTATCTATTTGTTTGTTTGTATGTTTGTAATTAAGCACAAAGCTACACAATGGGCTATCTGTGCTCTGCCCACCACGGGTATCGAAACCCGGATTATAGCGTTGTAAGTCCGCAGACATACCGCTGTGCCACGGGGGGGGGCTTTTATCTATTCCAACTAAGTACATTTCATCTGTTATAGTTTTTACCTCTTTCAACTAACCAAATTTCGCGAATCATAGTTTTATTTACGTCAACTAACGAATTTGCGTTAATCATAGGTTTATCTACTCCAGCTAAGCAAATTTCATTAATCATGTTTTTAAATTGTCACAACTAATATAACTAAACCATAACTAGCAAACAAATATTAGATTATTTCTTCTGTCGAATTCCCCAGTGGGACAGCGATGAGTCTAAGGACATACAACACTAAAGTCCGGGGTTAGATTCCCCGAGGTGGACATAGCAGGAAGTCCAATTCTTTGCTCTAAAGCAAACAAATAAATTATCCAAATGATCACATATCGGGAAAAAAAGTAAGCTATATAAAAAGCAATTAAGGTTTTACTTTTCCAGCTAAGTTGATTGCCTCAGTCATAGTTTTTACCTGTTCCAACTAAGTATTTTTCTTCAGTTATAGTTTCAAAAAGCCACTAGATGGAGTGGTTCAAATTTCATTACCTTGTAGAAATAGTGGGTGGGTCGTCTTAGAGATACAGGTTCTTTTAGCAAGTTTTCCGTAACGTAAAGACATCATTGTAGTAACATATCCCATCATATAAGTCTTCATATCCTGTGATGAGAAAAGGTACAAAGAAAAAAATTAACCAGATACTAACAAAAATCTACAACTATCGTGATTAATTAAGTTAAAATAGACGAAGAATCTTTTAGCTATGTTTTTCTGGATATTTTATATTCGTTGTTTTATTGTTTCGTTAACTACTTTTTATCCACATGTGAATAAAATGTGTCTTCCTTAGCTAGAGAAGTGCTTCAAATTATTTTCACCGTCCTACACGGATACCTTCAGTTAATCTATTCATTGCTAGCCGGTTCATTTCTTTGTTTCTATCATTAGATATAAGAGCGTATTAATCAATAGGCTTTCAAGGCTTGTGCCTAGAGCGAAACATTTTGAGGAGCACATCTTATAGATAAACATTTTGTTTTTAATTTCAAAAAATATTTAATAAAAACAAATTTCATTGCATTTTAATTTATTGGTGTTTTTGTGTTGGTGGATAATTGTCCTGGTGAGTCATTCGAGAAGGATCTAAATGCGGACCTAGAGCGTCAGTTAACCTTAACATGCCACTGATTAGATCAAAAACAATTCGTGATATAATTATTTTATGTTCATTGTTCACATTGTGCCATAACCATTACTGTATAACTTAGATAAGGAGTGGCTGATAAATTATCGATAAAAAATCTTCTGCGGTATTTCACGCAATGGGTGTGTCACGTTTCCGCTAACTAATGTTTTGTGGGCAGCACAATTAAATGCGTTCAACTGAAAAACCTAATAGAAGAGGTTCTTCGTAAAACTGCGATAGTTACAGATCTGAATAAAATTGAATAAGAAAGTGAAAAATTCAACGCCAAAGATTAAATAAAATACATCATCAAAATGAGGTTTCCATTTGAAAATATAATACGTTTTGATGAAAAAGATGATCAATTAATATTCTTCATTGATTCACCATTGATGTTGATCATCGTCTCATTTTGGATAAATTATAAAATCTAACAAGATATCATGCCAATGTAGACGAAAACATCTATACTCTAAAAGCACAGCATACATAAATTTGTATTGTTGGTAAAATACTAATTCCAACATTAGTAAGTTGTTAATAACATGTAGTTTTCGAAGATGGGTAACAACAAGCAGGGCAACTAAAAAGAAAAAACAGCTAAAAATTGTAACAAAACACTTTGGAATGATATATTCTACATTAGTAGTTCCCTCGTTAATTCATCAACTAAATGTATTTCCTGACATAAAACTCCTTAAAGCACTGGATCCATAACTGTGATACTGAAGACAGCTTAAGGTCGTGTACCAAAGAATATTTATAATCATAAATTTGATTTTCTTTGTGCAAGGCACCCAGTAGCTCAGTCTACAGGCTTCAGACACTGTCAAAGGATATTTATAGTCACAAATTTGATGTTCTTTGTGCAAGGCACCCAGTAGCTCAGTCTACAGGCTTCAGACACTGTCAAAGAATATTTATAGTCACAAATTTGATTTTCTTTGTGCAAGGCACCCAGTAGCTCAGTCTACAGGCTTCAGACATTAAAAATCGGGTTTTGATACGCGTAGTGAGCAGAGCATAGATAGTCCACTGTTTAGATTTGCCCTTAACAACAACAACAAAATAACTCTATGCAAGAAAGCATAATATTTCTATAAGAACAGCAACCACTAATGATAAGGAACACCCTATGGTGTTATTCACAAGGAAAAAGCACATACCACATGAATCCAATTCTTGGTAAAATGTTTGATTAACTTAGAAATAGAAGAAGACATAGAAGGATACATATTAGAAACCTTTGCGTTTATATTCAATTTTAATTTTCACATATTTTGAATTTAAACTTTTACGTTGCATTTTAAAATCCAAGAAAAAGTTTATACGTGATATAAGATAATTGTTTGGTATGTTAGGCTAATTAAGATTATTATTTAGGTACGATATTTTCTACGTAATATTTTCATATCTAATACCATAAAAATGTCTACCCAAGAAGTTGATTAATATTAAGAATAATTGGTTTCTTGCTACGGTGTTTTAATTAGAGAAACCTGTAATATTTCTTGTAGTAAAATCTAACCAACAAGGATTTTAAAAGATAAAATATTTAGGATTAAACAATCCTAGATAGTGAATTTAATCAGTCTTTTTCTGGCTTTTGCAAACTTCAATGCTTAAATTAATTATTCGAATTCGCCGTACATATTAACGTAACAACATGCAAATTATTGAAATTTGATTTATTTATTGCATTATCATAGATTTTTAGGACTACCCAAGTTATTTTCGTAGGATAGTCTGTTAAAAATGACATAATCAAAATGTGGAACTATAATGAATTTTATTTTTAGTGAATTTGCACACAACTCTTATGTTTATCGTAACATTTAAGTATGGACGACGGGAATAATATTACATTTTACTTGACCAATACTTCATTTGTGTTTTTACTACTATATTTCTTGTTTTAAAATGATGATGCAAGTTACTAGAATTATTTACAGCAGTGTAAAACACGAATTTGCACATAACTCTTATGTTTATCGTAACATTTAAGTATGGACGACGGGAATAATATTACATTTTACTTGACCAATACTTCTTTTGTGTTTTTACTACTATATTTCTTGTTTTAAAATGATGATGCAAGCTACTAGAATTATTTACAGCAGCGTAAAACACGAATGTTTACCTACATTAGCATGATTTACTTAGTATCTCAACTGTTCTTTTCATGTTATGCTTTTGAAACTCTTTTTTAACTCTAATTACAGATAAATTCAACTTTATAATGGAGCTTGGGTAAGGAATAAACAATGTAAAGTTTCATAGTTTAGTGTTTATTGAAATTTAATTGAAATTATTTATTTATATAAATTATTAAATTCGGCTTACTCACTAGGTTATTCCCATAAAAAGTAAAATCACGGTTGCTTGAAAAATAGTCCACATAAGTACAATCATGGCTGCTTGAAAAATAGTCCATAAATGTACAATTCCGGTTGCTTGAAAAATAGTCCACATAAGTACAATCATGGCTGCTTGAAAAATAGTCCACATAAGTACAATCATGGCTGCTTGAAAAATAGTCCATAAATGTACAATTACGGTTGCTTGAAAAATAGTCCACATAAGTACAATCATGGCTGCTTGAAAAATAGTCCATAAATGTACAATCACGGTTGCTTGAAAAATAGTCCACATAAGTACAATCATGGCTGCTTGAAAAATAGTCCACATAAGTACAATCATGGCTGCTTGAAAAATAGTCCATAAAAGTACAGTCATGTTTGTTTGAAAATTAGTCTACAAAAACACAGTCGTGACTGATTGAAAAATTAGTCCTTGATGGTTAGCTTCCTCCCTGTACTCACACTTTTATTATTCATCTTACACTGCGAATGATATTCTTTATCTACTATAAACTACAGCTGACACTCTATCCAAGACTCTTCGTTCCACGCTTTAATTTAATGATTATTTTCTTCTCGTGTTGACCTAATTCACTAACCTAAGGCTTTTGATTATATTTTCGTCGAAATAAATTTTAGCCAAAAACATATTGAATGCTAAGATTATATGTTAAACTACTATAAAGAAGAAATAGTACTTTCCAAACCACCAAATGACAAAACCGGATTGACAACTCCCATAGAAATGTTTAGCTTAGCATTCATTTAGTAAACCAACACGGAAACGTGCAAAATGTGTAATAAAAATAATATGTTATGATTCCGTTTTTAGCACACTAATAACTATAATGTTTTGAGTTAAACATTCCACTTTCAGCTGTCAGTAAAAAGCACTACGTAGACAAAACCAATAAGTGATATCTCATAAAGTTAATGTTAATAATAAAGTTAATTCCTGAAATTAATTTACTGTTGAAAGGTAGTTATTAAATACTATAACTTCTACTTTAATTTATGCTCCCTTGATACTAACACACGTTAAATCCTCAATAAGGTAACCACCCCCAAAAATTATAGTTGGATGTTTTATGAAATCTATTGTAGTAATACTACCAAATGTAGGAACAACGGTCACAATGTGTTAAGTGTTTACGTTCCTTTATAGACCGAGTTTGTCCACAAAGTCAGATAACATATATAAAATTTCTTGCTGTGTGAGCTAATATATATAAGAACCACTACCAGATAGCTTGTCTATTCGTTTTACACAAGTAAGTTCTTCTATTTTTCTTGCTGTGTGAACTAATATAT